GAGATTGAGTGCTCTAAGTGTTGATCTTGAGAGCTTGAAGAACACCTCCTCCATCTCTTCTCCCTCTCTAAGCTTCGTGCTCATTTGTGTGAGAGGTTGGAGAGACCCTAGTGTGTGCATTTGAGGTTGCATTTGGTGGCACTAGGTAATATTTGTGATTGTGTATTTCTTGTTACTCTAGGTGATTGCCATCACCTAGCCAGCTTGGTGCTTGTGGTGGACTGTGAAGAAAATCTTGATGATTGTTGGTGTCTCCGATCTTTGGCTATTGTGAGGGGTTTTGTGCTCATCCCCGTGGGAGATTCGCCAAGAGCAACTATAGTGAAATCAATCAAGGTTTGGAGAGGTCCCTAGTGTTCTACCGGCATTCTAAGTGAAGCGGTGAACTTGGGATCCATCTCAACGGGGACGTAGGTTACCGGCAAGCAACCGAACCATGGGAAAAATTCATTGTGTCACTTGCCCTGTTCTTTTGTGTTCTAAACACTTGCAATTTCATTTCATATATATTGTGCTTGTGTTGTTGCTTGATAGCTCTAGCTCTCTAGAGGTAGTTGTAGCTATCTCTTTTGTTTAGTAGTGCAACCTAGTTGTTCTTTGTACTAGCTCTTTAGTTGTTTAGTAGATGTTGGTGTTTATTAACGTGTCACTTGTTTGAATACTTAGACACCTATTGTAAACCTATACCTCCTAACTTTACTAGGTTGTCATCCCTAGTGATGATGCCAGAGATATGTGTTAGTACTACATAACATTGCTACTAGAATAACACTAAGCAGTTCTTTATTAATTATGTGACTAGAGAGAATATATATAAATCTATAAATGAAAAGTATCCACAAGCGCACTGATAATATACCATTGTAGTATTTTACCCGAGAGTATTCCAGGTATTGTTATTTATATTTTTACCACTAGGAAGGTCTAGCATGGATATGTATTAATAACTTATACTATTGAAGGAGAAATAAACCATAGCCAATATTCTACTCACAACAGGGACAAGTCATAAGATAAGATGTATAAATGATAAGTAATGAGAATAATAAATCACCCAGAGCACTCTTTTCTATAGCATTAGCATGGTCAGGTAGAATATTAGAGGAATAATTCCTAAGTCATTCTTAATTACAAATCAAAGCATACATTTGATTAGTGCAATTACACCTAGTAATCATGGCTAAGATCATCATCATATCTACACCTAAGAGATATTACTAAGGAAGATTGAGGGCAGAGCTCGTTCTACCTTCGTAATCAGACCCTACGTGCACCAATATTCGGGGAGTGGACTATAAAGGACTCAATGGGAGTATCACATCCGCGATCTACCACATGACCCGAATATAGGGTGTATCCATGAGTAAACAACGTATAAGCACCACTTACACAATGTCGACCACCCACCCCGTGTACATCGAGTGAGTGAGCGCTATACTGAACTTATGCATAAACACAATGATAAACTAGCTATACTAATATATAATCAAAGTAGACGTTGAACATCATAATGAAGAACATGAATAAGATGAATACTAATATTGTCATAACAATTGTAACTAGCATATAAAAATAATGGAGAAACAAGAGAGAGCGGGGTACAAAGTTTATACTAAACCACGCTCTTGACAAGATCGGGGATCCGAGCGAAGTCATGCTTGCCTCTCTCTAGATCTATCCTAACTAGCTATGCTATGGAGGAGGAGGAGCTCTGAGGAGATTAGGGTTTCTATCTTCTCAAATGACTTGATGTCTTCTGATATATGCCTGGGGGGAGAGGCAGGGGCTGGATTATATAGCCTCGAGGGTCCAACGTGAGCCTTTGGATCAAACCGACTTAAGCAACGGCCTAGATGCATCCTTAAAGGCGGTGGGAGACCGACATACGAAGCTGGCTGACAGGTGGGCCCAGAGGGGGCGAGCAGCCTGACAGTGAGGCTGGGCGACCCCACATGTCATCCCCTTGCTCTCTGCTTCGGTGACGTGGCTTCTGGAGTGTTGTAGAGTCTTCCAACGTAGATACCGCGGCGAAACTCCGTATTTTTCTTTGATGATTAGGTCCTCCTTAGTGGTTTTTTTGATTAAACCCTGCTGGAAACACAGATTCACCAAAACTCATAGAATTTATTAGTTTAAACCCCTAAACCTTCATTGGTGATTATATTTATGCCCTTATACATGTTTAATTGACGGTTTAAATTGGTTGTTAACTACCGTCAACCGTAGAGCCTCTAGTTGCTTGTTTGTGTGAAGTGCTTATTTCTTGTTCTTGCAACTAGAATTGTGTAGGGGGCTTGCATTGTTTTGCATAGGGCAAGTAGTGGCTATTAGGATTATCTCTTATATACTAACACCTTTGCCTAGTGTTTATGAGTTTGTAGAAAATTTAATTAGGAGATAGCCATCCATAGATCCTTTCAATGGGGAATCGAGGATCGGGTCCCGGTTGCCATCTCTAAATCCGATGCAAGAAGCTAGATCTTTTCATTGTTGATAGAGATGTTGAAGTATGAGGATTTAATCCTAGTTCTAGTTATACTATGGATAATTTGATATGCCCGCAGGAAGGCTATCCACGATAATATCTTCCAAAACCCATTATCTATTTTCCTTTTCGTGAACTCATTCATCTTTGATCTCACATGGTTGAAGGAAATAAGGTAGTCGATAGCGCATATACTGCAAGTACATGCACAACAATTCGACTGGATTCCCCCCACCGGCAGGTATCTGGGTGCTTCGGCTATAGTCTTTGATGATGCAATTCATGCAGAATCACTTGAGACATTGGCATGTAGAGAAGCAGTCTCGCTCTATATTGGGACCTGCTGCTACGCACGGTCATGGTGGTATCTGGCTGCTTGCCTGTGATTAAAAATATGAATGAAAGATTCCGGTGCATCTATCCAGATAATTTGGGAGGTCAAGTCAGAGGTTCACACACGAGAATTGCTGACACAACACACATGCGCATATTTTGGCAAGAAGTAGTATTTATGCTGAGGCATGTGTGGTTCCTTAGACCGCCTAAAGGTGTTTGTATTCTAGAAACAATTGCTTTGTAAGCAAATCTGAAGCTCTCAAAAAAATGCATGTGTTTGCCGCTTGCGGATAGCTTTGGCGATGGGAGTTGTTGTTTTTGCAACATAAAAGAAACTGTTTAACAACTTTTTTTCGATTGCTATGTAGCACACCTTATTTGGAGGGTGTTTGAAATTGCTTTTCGTTTACGTCCACCAACTAGCCCTTAGGGATTTAATCCCCCTCAGTCCCTTTCAATCCCCTTTCAGTCCCAGCCAAAGCGAACAAGCTCTAAGGCAAATTCAACCCCCTTCCTCACAACAACTTTGCATCCGAAGACTGCAGCACAGAACCTGAACCATCAGTTTTGAGCCATTATTACTCTACTATAACATAAGCATAAGCACATGAATATTGCAAAACGGAACCATCATATCACAGAGTAAACATGAAGTTAAGCTGAAGAAATAAGTTGCATCGTATCACATCACATGTAGATGTATGGGAAGCTCATTTGAGTAGAAATAAATTGTAATTATCACACAACATGTTGTGTCTTGTGCCCAGCTTACTCAACAGGAGCAGCAATTAATTTAATAGTAGCATGCAGATGCACGCTTTTAGATGACAGGATCCAAATGCGGAAGTACCAAAGCAGTTGTTGATCGAGTAGCCCATATGAATGAAAGATGGAACTGAAAGTTATGTTTTGCATTGTTGGGGCTAACAATGGATGCACCTAGGATCCTACAAATAGCATATGTTTTCAGTGAATAGTATCATGAAAAACGACAGTATTTCACCTAATACAGTCATACTATGCAAAATGAATTCGTTCGTTGAGATGCAGAGATTCAATTAGCTTTATACGCATTAAGCATTTGACTTATCGATAGTTTTAAACAAATATCGAAAACATGAGGTGCATTCCAAGGATTAGATCAAAATTCTCTCTACCGAGCAGACAGTGAGAAGATAAATTATACCAAGAGGGATATGCTCTCTTGCTTGGATGAGAATTTCAATCATTTGGACTAAGCATCTTGCTCTGCTGCATATATCAGTACGTGCAAATATGTTGTCCGATTGTCCCTGAATAAATAATTGGAAAATCTAGCTAGTTAATTGCATGGTCCACACCTTTGACGTCAAAGAGGTCGAGAAACTACCGAGTTCATCAGGTTATTCTCAGACATATGCAGCCTTATACTACTCTCAAGATAGAATATTGACAAACATATACACCGATTAATGCCAAAATTAATTGAAAACTGACAAATACAACTTGAATTAGGTGTGTCCAGATCGTGATATATATTTATGTTTGAACCAGCATGCCTAGTTCTTGTTCTGGTTAAACTAAATTGTTAGAGATAATCAATTTTCATCGACAAACCAAAATCTAAAATTATGACAGCTAGTAAGTTAGATCACCTAGAAGCCCATGCCAGCAAGACTAGTGAGATATAATAACTGCTTAGGTTTGATAACTACACCAAACATCATGGCTTCATATGTTCAGTTCCTACATACAAAATAGGCTGAAACCAAATCAGAGTATCAGATAAACAAAATGATATTTTACAAATTTTAGAACATCACTGAATCATTTGCAACAATATGTGCGCATTAGTATACATGACTCCCACTCAAGTTGAACACAAGTAAAGTCACAAATATAAGCAGTTGAATAACCCAGTGATACAAATCGTATGACCAACTTTGACATAGCAGTGAGAATACATCGCTTGGGCTGGATAATTAGGGTAGAATAAATACCTCTAAAATATGGTCTGGTAGATATGTCAGCAGGTTGGCCAAAGTACACCATCACCATGGTTGGCACTGAGGCATCTGGATCAAAATTGAGTCAGCCGTTGGATTGCATCTAACCACCCCCTCACATGCACTGCAACTCAGCCGTGTTGGATGCACATTATACGGCTGCGATAAGCCATGTAGTCACAGGTGATCTGGAACTACCATATTAATGGGTCTGCTGCATCCAAATCCCAGTAAACTCTATGTATATATTTGAGTAGTTCCTTCCCCTCCTTGGTCTGTAGTTCCTTCTTCTCGAAGGGCTGTTGCACCTCAGTAAGCTTAGGGCAGTGAGATAGCTCGACATGCTGTATGGATGCAAGGCCCTGCAATCCTCCGATGGATGCCAACTCCCAGCAGCCACGTACTACCAGGCATGTGAGCGTGACGATCGAGTTCGACAGGATGCACTTGACCCTGCCACATCCACACAACTGCAGGAGGGTGAGAGAGGTGAGGTTCTCTAGGCAGTCTGGGAATGACCTGTCCAGCTCATTGCAATTCACTATACAGAGTCGTCGGAGTGAGGGGGGCAGAACCATTTCCCGTGGGCACTCCAGCTTGGGACAATGACATATTTTCAGGTCCTGTAGGCAAGCAAACCCCACAAAAGTATGAACCGGTATTGATACGAGATCCCCACACTCCTCAAGCGTTACCGACTTGATGGATGGCAGTATCTCTGGGGTCAAGAACTGCTCAAGATTTGTCAGCGCCCAGCATTTGAAAACACCTAAAGTAGTGAGGCGTGTAAAGGCAAAGGACACAATTCCATTGTTGCGACTGATGCTGCTGCTTGCATGCTGCGTCCCATCATTGCCACCCGTTTGTGTTCCATCGGCAGAGCAGGGGATTGATAAACTTTCCAAGGAAACACAGTAGGAAAGCTCCAGGCTTCTTAAAGTTGGAAGGTCTTCTGGCTTAAACCAGCTTGGAAGCCTATCACCACAAAAGGCATCGACTTTAAGGCATTCAATTCTCGAATGCGGACGCAAGCCTTCGAGCACTCCATTATCACTGCGCGTCAACCGTAATGATCCCTGTCGCCACTGTAGAACAAGTTCCTTGAGGTATTGCTTTCCAACAAGTCTAGCCTCAGCAGCCTCTTCCTCGTTCCAAACAGTAGCAAGAGATCTGATGCGAAGCGTTCCATTGAGCTGATTCATGAACTTCAGCTCATCAATTCCTCGCCCAGTCTCTTCTGCAACTATATACTCACTCAAGTTTCGTAGACAAGATAGGTTTCCAAGCCCTCTTACCCATGACAAGGTATGAGAGGATTCTGCTGGCAGTGCTAGATGGTGCAAGTTGATTAGCTTTGTTACGCCCTGATGAATTCTTTGCAGCTTTGAATGACTTGCATCAAGAACTTGTAGGTTGTAAAGGCACCAGAATTTCTCAGGTAATTCTTGTACACTGCTACGAGATATATCAAGATAACGGAGACTATTCAGCTCACATATGCTTCCGGGTAGCTTTACCAGCTGGCAGCCTTTTAGGCTCAAAAATAGAATGTTAGAGAGCTGATTGAACCAGGTAATTTCAACATCAAATCTGATTCCAAACCTAAGTGAATGCAGTTTATTCAAATGTTGAATATCTCCCATTCTGGTCAATGACTCACCACCCACTTCAATCGACATGTGCCGAACTGTATTCTGCTCTTATTGTTCTGGTTTCTTAAATCTTGCATCACCAAGCATTCATCCATAGAAAAGGACACAGCCATATCATGGATCAGATCGTGCATTAAGTACCTTGTTTTATTCGGGCATTTTGGATCGGTTTGGAAAAGAAATCTGTTTCTCAATTCATCAAAGTAAATAATCCCCACATCTTCAGGACGCATGCTTCCCCCTGGCACAACAAAGCCCTCGGCCACCCAAATACTAACTATCTCATCTCTTTCAAAGCTATAATCCTTGGGAAACATGGAGCAAAATATGAAACATCTCTTAACCTCTTCTGAGAGATACAAATAGCTGAGTTGAAGGGCTGGTAATATCTCATTCTCTTCATGCCGCAGCTCCCAGAGTTCACTCTTCTGGATAGTCCTCCAGTGTTGCTCTGTCAGGCTCATATTCAACAAGCGCCCGAGTGTTTTTGCAGCCAAAGGAGACCCGCACAACCTAGTGCAAATGCTCTTACCAATATCTTGCAAGTGAGGATATGACTCTGGGTTATTTGTACCAAATGAACACTTTCTGAAGAAATCCCAAAATATATCAGTAGGCAATCCTTCAAGTTGGACAGGCTCACAGTTGCTTGTGGTAACACGAGTAGCAACCACTGGACATCTTGTAGTCACTAAGACCATACTGCCTTCGGGTCCGTACCTCAGAGGTGCATAAAATGCCTCCCAATATGCATTAGCATTCGGCCAAATGTCATCCAACACCAGAAGGAATTTTGGGCACATCTTCAGACGCTCCTTCAATTCGACTTGCAGAGCATTTAGACTGCATGATGATGTGTCGAATTTCTTCCCAGGGATGGATTCAATGATCTCCTTTGTTATCCTTCTCTTATCAAACAAGTCGGAGACACAGACCCATATCACCACACCAAAGTGGTGTTGCACCCTTGGATCATTGTAGATGAACTGAGCTAGGGTAGTCTTCCCCACACCGCCAATACCAACAATCGAGATGACAGAAACATTGTTGGTGCAGTTAGTAGTCTCAGCAAGTCCAGCCCTGCCGCTGTTTCCTTTTGGTCGCTTGGCTCTGGATGTGGAAGCGACACCATTATTGCTTGCGGCTTCTCTCTTCCGGCGATTAGATCCACCACCTTCAGAGTCAGAGCTATTGCCCCCGGTCCCGGCGAGTTGCACTCCCAATAGTTTGATCACCTGATCCCGTTGGGCCTCGCGCCCAATCGTCACACCAAGCATCTCGATCAACACATCTCGTTCACCATCACGACCAACAACTTCCGGGGCGCTGATGACCGAACTCGTCTCCGGCATGATCTGTGATGGCTCAAAGCTCATAAGTCCCATAAGATTGAGCATCCCCTCGATCTCAGCCACAACCTTGTCGAGCTTATCTTGCATCTCCTTTATCCTTGCTTTGCCACGAAGGATCCAAGTTTTGGCAAGATTCAGAGAGGAAGATAGGAGCTGACCTGCCCTGCTCCGGTCAGCGTCCTGTATGCTTTGCCTCAGCACCTGGTCATCTAGCTCGCGGAGGATGTCCTCTGCATCGTAGGTGGTGTCCTTGAGATGCGAGAGAAGCTTCGCCAGCTCCCTGTCCTTGAACATGCCCCACTCGACGCGACAGATGAGCTTGCGAGCCTTGGGCAAGGTGGCTCGGAGGCGGTCCAGCTCGTTGTTCGTCTGGGTCTCTCCGTAGAAGTTGGCCCCGGCTGAGAGAATCCATTGTAGTTTCTCCATGGCCGTCGTCCGTCGTCCGTCCTCCACGGACGTACAGCAGCCGAGCTGAGCAGCACTCAGTGGAGGCCGGCAGCGACAGCCGGATCGGACGCCGGTGATGAACGGACTGGAGAGAGGCGGCTGGATCCGAGACCGACCGGGTACGGGAGATGTGCGCTGGGGGGGCGGGGGGCGATGGGAGCTGCACGAGAAGACGCCGGCCAGGACAGTGAGTGGACGCGGGTAGAGGAGTAAACTCCGGCACATCACATGGCTTACGGGTACCGAGGTCCGAGGGAACCATGTTCTTCCTTTCGGATAAAAGTAAACTGAGTGGGCTCTAGGCTCTGTAAACCGACTTTCAGCCTGTCCGGATGGCTGGTTCGTTTCGTCGCTGATTCGTGAAGAAGTACTGTTGGTTGATTTATGTTAAAAAAAACTGTTTCGATTGAAAATTTACGATCGTTTACGACAAACCACAGCCAAACGAACGGATCCATAAAAGGTGGAAAACTCTTTATACACTGTTTGATGCATCCTCTCGTACGTCGTCTACGCGTATGGCCGTCGGTTCAGCGGAACGGCGCCGTGCCGCAAATACGATTCGGCGGGCATTTCGGTTGCCGTCGATGTCCATCTCCGGCTAGGATTAAAAGAGGTGCAGTAAAAACTCAGATCTGCGGCGGTTTTTTCCCAACGGATCGGGCCGCTGCCTGCGTCTGCGTGACTCGTGAGGGAGAGAAACGAAGGTTACGGAAAAGTTAAAAGCAGGAAGCCTGCCGCTAAAATGCCGATTTCACGGCGGGAAGAGAAAAAAAAAGAATCCACTCCAGTCTCTTCTTTTCTTTTCCTTCGTGATTGCGTGAGCAGATGAGTGTCATCAGGGAGCATATAGCATCATGAGCACGGATGACGCCGACGAACGAAGAAAACGAGTGCCAGCGACTCACGACCTCTCAACGGAGTAGAGGCTCACCGGAGAAGTGGGACCATTCTCCATTGGGCAGCGCCGGCGAAGGCCCACCGCAGGGCTCGCCCTGCGCCGCCCTCCTTCAGCCCGTCCCGCGCCGCCTGCCGCCGCCCCATCGCCCTCCCCGCCCCTCCCGCGGCTCGCTGCGCCGGTGTCCTCCATCCGTATCGAGAACGCGGAGAGCAGCAGCGTACGTGTACAGTAGCAATTCTCCGTCAGAGGAGCTCCGCGTACTGCGTACAGTAGCAGAGCGTCCAGTCCAGTGAGAGAGAGAGCAATTGAGTGGAAGTTTCAAAGGAAGCTTTATTCTCCTCCACTTTGTTTGTTTGCCGCAGTCGTTGCATCGCTTCCTGCACCACGTATGTACGATGCCTCGCTTTAAAATTTTTCTTCAGCGGCAAGATTCGGTTGCATGTTTGCGGTGGGACCCATGACCATAAAAAAAGAGTACTTTTTCTCCTCACCGAGTGGACTTGCAGCCTCTGCCCGGTTCTTGCACGTTCCTCGCAAGCGCTTGGTTACCCGTATCAGAGTCAGAACCTGGCTCCCCATGCATAAGGGCCTGTTCGGTTCTGCGAACCGTGGCCTGGATCCGTTCCGTGGCCTGGGTCCGTTCCGGTCAGGAACACTTATCTACAGCTCTCAACCAGGAATGGTTCCTAAGAGAATGACACTGAACGAACGAGCCCTAAGGTAGCGCAGAGCCTGGCTCCCCGGATATATATTTTATTTACAACAAAGTTTTTTATTGATGCTATTAACATATGATTAATATATATTAAGTGATATTAGTGTATTTTAAAGTAAATTAAGATATTAAAAGTAAAATATGAACTATTAGAGTGCAATTACACAAGTTAAGACCCCCTTTGGAACGTGGTTTTTTTTTTCCTGTTACTACGTTTTTCCTACGAAAAATAAACTGATTCCTGTAAAATTTCTACATAATTAGTTAATTACTGCAAAAAAATTTTGCATTCCAAAGGGGGTCTAAATATTATAAGATCTCTTATTTTTCTATTTTTATTTCATATGGTACGACTTCACACAGGCAACCAAACACCATCTCTTCTCAGCCATACTATAGACATGTACTCCCTCTGTTCTTTTTTTAGTGTCGCTATGCTATTTGTGCTGGTCAAACTTTCTTAAGTTTAAATAAATTTATACAAAATATTAGCAATATTTATATCTCTAAATAAGTTTATTATAAAAAAAATTTAATGACCTATCTAATGATACTAATTATGTATCATAAATATTAATATTTTTTTATATATTTAGTTAAAGTCGAGTACGCGTGACTTCTCGAAGATAACAAGGACGGCTAAAAAGCAACGGAGGAAGTAGACCAGCATACAAGAACAGCTTGCATCTCTATAGCATGTCCAGCAAAACCTGTTCCCAGGTGCGTGCCAGGCTTTCCTCACCAACAAACCAAACACACTAAGGGCGCGTCTAGATGGCGATTTTTTTTTGGTTTTGGCTACTGTAGCACTTTCATTTGTATTTGGCAATTAGTATCTAATTATGGACTAATTAGGTTCGAAAGTTTCGTCTCGCGATTTCTCACCCAACTGTGCAATTAGTTTTTTTTTCGTCTACATTTAGTACTACATGCATGTGGCGCAAGATTCAATGTGACACTTTGGAGTAAAAATTTTTAGGAACTAAACATGCCCTAACAGGCTTCCAAACTTGCACTGATTCTTTCTCTCTCCAGGATGAATCGGCTTGCTCCAGCAGTACAAGTCGATTCATGAAACTCCACCTATGATGATGCATCGCTTTGAGAAAGCCACCGGATAAGAAGATGCTAGCATATGGCCATACAGGGACCTCTTCCATGCTTTTTATGTACCAGCTTTATAAAAGGAAAAGAAATATTCACTGTTAAATTTAATTTAAACCATCAGTTTGCGACTAACTCTCAAATTCTTACGCTAGTCATATTTTCTGCGTTCAGAACACCTATTTCTATAAAATTACTGTATTTTCCAATCCTTTGTTTAACACCTCCATTCATTTAATATTCCTCTGCTTTCTTCCATTTGTATGTTTTTCATTCCTTTATTCCCACTAGAAGAATGATTGACCCTCCCCCCCCTGGCGAACATGGCCTTACAACCTGCAGTTCTTTTGTAAGAAGTTGTCTTGACATTGTAAAATATCTAAATTTCTCGTTGCAAACCAATATTTTAAATAGCCGGATATAGCTTCCGCTATAGCTAGATTTAGCGGCTTGGCAAGGCTGAAGCTAGGAGAGTTGCCTTTTAAATGCTAGTAGCAGTGATTAGCGTGCTAAATAGGCTAAACGAGATCAATTCAGCATCAGAAAGTATTACTCCTTCTATTCCAAATTATAAGTTGTTCTGTCGTTTCTAGATTTATAGCTTTTATTATGCACCTAGATATACGTTATGTGTAACTGCATAGCAAAAGCTATGTATTGAAACGGAGGGAGTACCTAGCAGACCTGTGGACCAAAATCAGAGTCATGTGACGGCCCAAACCCTAGCCATTCTCTGACACCCGGTTTTAAAGGCAAAACTAAATGCAAATCACATGTATGCCAGGATCAACTTATTCATACATGTGACGACATCAACAGTGATACATTGTGGTGTTTATTACAAAAGCGATAACTTTATTTAAAAAGGACCCAGGGATCTAAAAGAAAATTACATCACAGAACTTCAGCGGAGCAGGCACAGGCAGCTGACCGGGGGTACACCAACGTAGCTCGAACCCCGTTTTCGTGTAGCTCCATCTCCAAGTCTAAACAGCTGGGTGGGATAGTGAAAGCATCTAGGCGCTTGTTTGCGTTTTGGTAATTAATAGCATCTGTGGACTAACATTTCACATGAGAAATGAAAGGCAAAAGGTTGGTCCACATGGAGGCTTTGACCGGCTTGAAGGTCATGGTGGAGATGACAAGGAATCATGTTGACAAGCCTCAAGGCAAAGGCTACCGGTGAAAGGCCCTAATTTGGTTTTGGTAATTGAGTGACAATTTAGGTGGACTAATATGTGTTTGATGTGAGATACACGGGTGACTAGTCCACAGGTACACTAGTACGAGCAACACTTAAAGCCATGATGGAGAAGTGGCTTAGTTATGTTGCAAGTGCTCAACTAGTGCTTTGGAGGAGCACATTGCATATGAGATATGACATGATGTCATGTGGCTACGTGGAGAAGATCAAGAGGCATGGCTTGGCTACGAAGGACCGGGTTGCCAGTGTGAAGGGAAAGCTAAAGGCTCGGGTACGATGGACCGTCGAGGCGGTGAAGCGCGAGTAGAGAGCTTGGCGCCGATGGACCGAGGCAACGGTAAAGAGAAAGCGAAACTGTGATCGATGAACCAATAAGGCCTCATGATGACATAAAGTCGATCATATCATTCAAAGAGATCAAGCCAAGTGTTGATTTGTGTTGATGATCAAGTGGCTTGATGGAGAGTGATGGAGGAAGTTCGTGCTATAGACAATTATCAAAGGTAGCATGGTTGGCTACACCTATGAATGGTTATTTTTCATCATTTGATAAAGATGAAGGTTGGATGCTTGTGTTGCATCACCGACAAAGGAGATGAAATGGAATACGCAAGGCAAAGGTATATTTGTAGGGCATTTCATTTCACTAGTCAAAGGTTGAGTAGAGAAGTGCTTGACGGGGTTTAAGATAGATAGCCGTACTATCAAGAGGGGTTCTCTTGTGAGCTAATCGGTTATCTAGTGCCACTAGGTGAGATTTAACTCGCGATGCATTTAGATCGGTTGGAATGGAAAGGTGCAAGTGAAAATCCTTTGAAAATGCTAACTTAGGGCCAAAGGTGTTGTTGTCGTGTTGGACAACATTTGGGAGTTAGCATGTTTGAAAAAGGATTTGAAACAAAGCGCGGAGTGTTGTTTCAACACTTACCGGAGCTATCTGGTGTTGCACCCAAGTGCACACCGGAGCTCCTGGGCAGTGGCGGTTGGTGGCGTTGTTCTAAGGCACGCACATTGTGTTCCGGTGTGACCGGACGTGTCCGGTGAAGGCCACCTAA